ACCTGCCGTCGCGCGAAGCGCGTCCCCTCGCTAGTTCTAATAATACATGCCATCAACCAATCACGAAACCATTATTGAAGTTGTATTGTGACAGAATCAACCATTTTCTAGGTGTGATATTTAAAAAAATACAATTTCTGTGTGATTCGGAATTATTAAATTTTTTTGGGATCAGACACACTTAGGCGAGGTTGTTAAATTACACTTTGTTGACTAAACATTTAATATGATGAAGTAGGAGTGTTTGGAAATTTGTCATCATTAAACATTGTTTGGAAATGTAAAGAACAAAAGCTTTATATTCATATTTTGACAGGTAGCTTATTGATCATACGCATAATATGATTTCACACAAATGATTTTTGTAAAGGATGAACTAGATAAATAAGATCATATTGGATGGAGGCAGATTTTGGGCAGAGATTTTTTGTAATCAAAGTGCAGATTTTTTGAAACTTAGCGTGTGCTTATGTATTTCGTCAGGCTTAGTGTGTGGTTAAAAAAATGCCACATGACCTTTGAAAAGGAAAATAATTACCATGGCTGGTGAAACCCACAACAAAGCATGATCATTGGTTACTTTTTGTGGTAAAACAGTGTTCTAGATATGTTTTTATTTGAGTTTTCGGATGAGTGGGTTTAATGATTATTTTTTACTGTTCATGCTCTGAAAATTTGATTTGTCTCATTGATTAGGAAATTCGGGAGATTAAAGAGAGCCATTCATGAAACCCTAGATAATATAACATATATAAAACACACAATAAGGGCCATATTATCAGAGGCATACCTACAGCTCTTATGGACATCCTTGGTTTTAACTATGATCTCCTCTAAGTCTACTTAATGATTTTTATAGAGTTAAGGTAAAGTTTTCAGGTGAGTAACATAATCAATGTCACTTTCACAATGTTGCCCCTCTTTTGTTTTGTTGTCTATGAAAAGATGAGCCTATGGTTTTCATTCTCAATCAAAATTGCTTGGTAGGTTGACATAACTTCAAAAAAAATTGAAGTACTTTTGTGGTCACTCGCAAATTAGTCTTAAGTAAAATAACACAATAAATTTTTTTTAGATGAATTAACAAACATAACATGAAGACGTGTTTAAGCATCACATTTTTTCATCAGTCATGTAGGAATGCATAAACATATAGTGTAAAAATCCATACATCAATGTATTGAGGATGTAATGGTCATATATAGTCTGAACATTGAAATGAATCTAATATTTATAATTAGGCAAGAAATAAATTAACAAACTTGACATTAAGTGCAAAGATAGTAAGAAATTAGCAAACATACCATTGAGGCAAGTAATACATAAACAAACAGACCATTAATGCGTGTTTAAGCTACACATTTTTGCTATATGTCATGTAGTAATGCATAAACATGTAGTGTATGAATGCATAAAATATGTATTCAGCATGTAGTTGTGTCATATAGCGTGAATGAAATGTTTATAATTAGGCAAGTAAACAATTAACAAACATACCACAAAGTGGACAGATAGTAGTAAATTAACAAAGTGATAATATAAGGCAAGTAATAAATTAACAAACACACCATTCAGATGTGTTTAAGCATCGCATTTTTTCAACAGTCATGTAGGAATGTATGAAAGCATGTAGTGTACAAATGCATGCACAAATGTATTGAGCATGTTGTTGTGATATAGTCTCACCATTCACATGAATCAAATGAATATTATTAGGCAAGTATAAAATTAACAAACATACCATTAATTAAAATGATATCTACTTTGCCCATCTGCATTCTTCATTTGCTCTTTCGTGTTTCCTGGCCTCAGTTGATTGGCCTCATTTGTAGCAAATCCTCATATTAGTACCATTCCATTGTAAATAAAGAGGAAAGAATGTCAGAGGCTTATCAAACCTCTTGAAATTAAACGCAAATAGGCATGTATTTCAAAAGTTTTTTTAAATGATAATGAAATCATATAGTGTATAAATGCATGCATGAATGTATTGAGGATGTAGTTGTGACATATAGTATGACCATTCACATGAATCAAGTCTTTATAATTATACAAGTATAAAATTAAAAAACTTACCATTAAGTGCACAGTTGGTAAAAAATTAACAAACATATTGTTCAGGCCAGTAACAAATATATAAGAATACCATTAAAACGTGTTTAAGCATCATATTTTTTCAGATGAATGCGTAAACATATAGTGTACAGATGAATGGGGTAATTTGATACGTTTACCACTGTCAATGTTTTATGACTTTTCAAAAGTTATCTAGATTCTTCTTTTATTTTTAATTTTTTATTAGTGATAATATAAAAATAAAAATAAAGTACTACGTAACTAATAATTTTAATAGTCGTAATAAAATAAGATTGCATTTTCGACTTTTCCCATAAATATATAAATACATTAATGTATAAATATTCGGTCACCGGTGTATTGAAATTCACAAAGTATGTTGTTTCGAGATAAGTATTAAAATTAGTAATTAAAATAATGTTTAGAAGACAACCAAAATGTATGGTGAAGCAGACCTTTGTATAATACATATAAAATATTTTATTCTCAAGGAAATTAGTATATCAGGATTTAAAACTTACTAGAAGTCGTATTTTTTTTAAAAGTACGAAACGAAGATTTGAAATTATTATTTTTTGGGAATTTGATGATGCACAAGATTTTCTTAGTATTATTGGTTTTTAAAACAACGTACACAAGCCAGTTGTATTTTTATGTCTTCCATATCAGTGAGTTTTCTTTCTTATTATCCTCAAAATGTTGTACTTTGGAAAAATACTTTTTTTATGCATTAGAAAGGGAAAGCTTAATTTAAAAAAAAAATCGTGATGTTTAGATGGTATAAGTATATTCAATAAATATTAGTGTACTAATTTACAATATAAAAAAACTAAAAAGTTTGCGTGAACTTTATTTTTGAAAGGCGAGAAAATGAAAAACAAAATGACTACGCCTTCGGATCTTACGGATCTGTAAGGTTTAATCGATTTTTTTATTATTGTTCGGTTTGAGTTATGGTTGTTTTTCTTCAATGTTGTAGAAATTCGTGCATGTTGTGCGGTAGATCTACAGAATAATGACAATAATGGAAAGAAAGAAAAAATATATAGCCGATCTAATCTCTTGTAGATCTGTATTTTTTGTGATTTTGTTCCGGTGAGATCTTTTGAGGTGGTTTGCGGGTAAAAGAAAAAGGGGGAGAAGAAGTGGTGCTTTGTTTGTGCATGTAAGTGTTGTGTTTCGGTTGGGTTTGAGAAGAAGGAACTTACCGATGGTAGATTGAAAGCATGCACATTGGAATAGGGGTGCACCGGTCCAAAACCGGACCGGACCGGACCGGAACCGGTTAGGACCGGAACCGGAATCATCATTTTCTATGGACCGAAGACCGGACCTAAATCTAACCGGTCCGGACCCGTTTTGATCCTAATTGACCCGGTTTTAGAAAAAGACATTATCTTAGAGAGATCTTAACCGACACCATTTTTTTAGGAATAAGGCTTGGATGTTGTTGTTGTTGTTTCAAACTATAATTTTATGTGCGGATATGCTATATAGGCTAAATAATTGTTTAGCCCATTTATTAATTTTGGAATATAGTCATCAAAACTATTCAATCGTAATAATTAGTTTCCCACAGTAATTAAAACTACAATCTTTTGTGTATATTAGAATGACAAAATGTATTGTAGAGTAATAAAAACTAAATTATGTCCAAAAAATACTACGTATAAACTACATGCACACCTACAAATAAAGAAACAAATAAAAAGCAATTTGGAAAAATCAAACAAATATAAACTATGATCATAGTAGTGCACGCATGCACATAAATAAACAAATAAAAAACAACTTAGGAAATAATTAGACACCAAATATACACGTACTCCGTATATATTCATTTATATAATAAAAGAAAAAAGTAAGTCATAAACATAATGACTAATGGTACAAAATAAAATATATATTTTACGGAACAATAGTTTACCGGTCTATTCCGGTCCGGACCTATTTTTTCCGGGTTTGACCTGGACCGGACCGGAACCCGGAATGTTGAAAAACTAAGGACCGAAACCCGGACCGGTTAATACCGGTCCGGTCCGGTCCATTCCGGTCCGGTTCTGATCTAAAATACGGTCCGACCCGGTTAATGAACACTACTACATTGGAAGATCTTCGGTTGTTTGTTGTGACTGGAGGTGTATTTGGACTGTTCGAACCCCATCTGCGTTAGATTCCGGCGGTCTGTGTGTTTCGTTAGAGAGAGAGGCTTAGGGAGAATGTTTAGTTGGCGTGGTATATTCGGGAAGGGCTATTCGGTTACGTACTGGGCTGGCCGAACATAAAAATCTGGATGGTTGTGCAGGAGATGGGTTGGGCTGGAGTAACAGATTTCATTTTTAATGTCTATGGGTCTTTTATATACTAACATAAGAGATCATATTTTTTGAAAGTAGGAATTAGTAATTTTGATTTGAGTTATAAATACAAGAAAGTAATTTTTAACTCAATAGTTAAATACAAGAAAGTAATTGTTAGAGACTAGCATTACTGAATAGTTTCATTTAAATTACTGACCACAAACAAATATGATGGAAAAATTCTCATGCCGTACATCGCACGGGTGAATTGGTTCGATGTTTTTTCTTTTAAGTAACGCTGAGTACTCTCATTTTGATCATAATATTATAAGTATGTTTCATTTAATGCTTTGATGTATATCATTATTACATGAAGATAGATGATGTCATCAATTGATAGTGTGATTTGAATAACTAAGCACACATAAATTTGAAAGGAATTTTCTCAAACCGTGCGATGCACGGGTGAGTTTACTAGTATGGATATAATGGAAAACATTGTAGTTTATGGTGTGTATAGAAATATAAATAAATACTTTAATAATGGTGATAAAAACGATTTATCAAACTTTTCAATTGAACTGTGCGGAGTAAAATCAAAATACTCCATTGAACAATTGAGCATTTGAAAAAAATGAAGATAAACATCGTATTTTAATAAAACAAATACCATCGTATAGCTTATCAGCTTATGTAGAAGAATGGTAGATTCCCTTTATATAGGCCTTTACAAGAACGAATGCACCTAAACCAAATAAGAAGAACCGCAACCAAAGAAAACATTTCTCATTATTACTAGTGAATACTACTCCGATTCCACTGCACTTTTAATTCTCTTCACAATCATCAGCAAGCTGATAATGGGAAGCGGAAACATATTCATCCTATCAGCTGGAACTGCTACAAGTGCTTCTTTTGTCAGTTAAGAAACTGCTTCAATGGCACTGCCCAGGGGCCAAGCGGCTTCCACAAGGTGACTTTTGTAGTTCACTTTCTTTACCAATGTGATGGATTGATAAGGATCTAGACCTGATCAACATGCATGACCAAACATTTTAAGATATACAACACATCTCTCTGAATTGCATTTGACACATTTAGCCCTTCTTTGGTTCTAAACAGGGGAGGCAACTGAAATTGGTTAAAAAGGAAGATTTATATTTGGTTCAAAGAAGGAATCAGGAGGAATTAGTATTTTGAAACAGTACGACTTTTTTGTATGCGTTTGATATAACTTTTTTGTAATTAAAAATATATTAATATACATGTGTAACAACATATTAATAACATATTAATATGTGTAAAACACTTGTTTTAAAAATAAGCAAAATTACTTGCCCAAAATCCCCCTCAATGAGGGGGCGTGGGATGTGAGGAGTTCAATTTTTTCAATGCTTATCCACTTTCCTCCCCCAACCATACAAGGGTTTAGGGGATTTCTGAAAACTTACCAAATCCATCAACCAGCAAACTGAACTGATAAGCCAGATCCATGCACAAGTACGGCAAGTTTTCTTCACTGAAGCGAGGAAATTTGGCTTTGGCATCTTCAAGTCCAGTTGCACATGCGGTTGAAGCTGCACTTTCGAAATCAACTGGGCGAACTTTTGCGACAGGTACACTTGGGTCAACAATGATTCCTACCTGTTCAGAATGAGAAATCCAAATGAGTAGTTTACTAGATTGAATCTTTTATATAATTATGAGGTAATCACACTCCTTAAAAGAATCTAATCCTCTTGTTGGGTTACACTCGATTTACTACTACGTATGATATTCGAGCCTGATCCGGTGTTTGTTAGATGTCCGCCCACTCATTTGTTATTTTTAAACTGTTCATTTGGCCCATTTGTTCACACCTTGAGTTGTCTGATGGATCATCGAATCCTCTGGTGTGAGTTAAGACTGAACATAATATGGTACCTGATCCTACTAAGATATTTTCAGGCGCCCTCCCACCCAGAGGTTTAGGACCCATTTATTATTTTTAAGCTGTTTGTTTTGACCCATTTGCACACCCCTTCAGTTGTCCAGCCTGTTTGGAGCTTATGGTCAGGCTGATGGGATGTGTTTGGTATCCTACATCAGTTGTTCATTAGACTTGAGCCTAGTATATAAGCTTTATCCACCTCGGTGGCACCTCCTGAGGGTGAAGAGGCTTATATCCAATTTAACACATCTATAATTTGAACACAATGTAGTCAGAGCTATCTAAAAACCACAAAGGCGAGTATGTCCAGCTGAGGAACAAAGTCACTAATGTAAGAAACAAATCCATAATCAACAAATATACCTCAGCAGCTCTGTCAAAGAAGAACGAAGCTACGTATAGATTCTTCTGGCCGTCACCCCCACCGCCACTCCACACCCCTCCAAAAGTGCATTTCATGTGTGTGCAGGCTGATCCATTCACTTTGAGAGCCTTAATGACTGCCTCCCTACAACTCTTCATGTTTGAACCATCAGGCAATGGTGATGCTGGATAAACTGCTCCTCCATATTTATATGAGACTAGCATGCACAAATGTAACCAATAACTGTTCTATTAAGAGGTAGATAAAAGTAGAAATGCTTGAAAATAAATTGTTTCCACCACTTGATAAAAGCATATACTTCCACACTGCACTACTGCATGCGCTGTATGCAATTAACTAGATGTTTGTAAGTTGCAACTTAAAACCCCAACAAGGAACACAACAGTTTGGATTTGGGTGATACTAGAAAGACCAAATACAAGTCTCAGTTTACTTATCTAATACTACCTCCGTACCACTAACATTGGGACAAGATAGGGTGGCACGGTTATTAAGAAAAGTGAGTTTATGTGGTTGATATTGAATTGATAAAGTAAGAATAAAGTAAAAATGATTAAGAGCCACACAAACTTTACCAAATTTGTTATGAGACAATCTTAGTGGGATTTCCCGAAAAAGGTAAAATGAGACAATCTTAATGGGACGGAGGGAGTATATATTATCATCCAAATGACACTATTTTTGTAATGTGCATATTCTCGGATGGCCTTTCCATCAACATTGGTAATCTCTTAGTACCACTGTCATATGATTATAAAATGAAGTTTTCCATGGCTCATGAAAATTCTCAAATATGCAATGCAATAGTAACATGCGAATCTTAACATGCAAAGCTTAACATCCAAAAACATATGATGATGTCATGGCAACATGAAAATAATGGATACCATACCATGGTATCCTTCCAAGATGCAAGGGTTGCCAGATTTCCCAGTGACTTTCAAAATTTCAGCTCGAGCAGCAAGCAAACCATAGTGCAAATAACTGTGCCACAAGAGAGACAAGTTAGATCTAACTATACAAATTAGGAAAGTCTTAACTACAAAGAATGCCATAGTACCACACAAAAAAACCACACTAGGCAAAGCTAAAAGCACTTTTATTTGTACAGAGTTAATACTTAAAGAACAAATACATGAGTTCATAAAGGTAAATGAGACAAACCTGTGGACATAAAGGTAATACTTTTTTCCTTTGAGGTACATTTCCCGCACATATGTATCCTCTCCTTTTGATTCCTTTGGGGCCTTTTGAGCATCTGACTCTGAGATAGCATAGGCCATTTGCACAGATCCGCCTCCCAGATCAACTACTCCAATGGTGTTGGAAAACTTCTTACCCAACTTTCCTAATAAATAATTAATGGTCACCTGCATGGATGATTAACATATAAAAAAGGAAAATTTAAAGCTCTAACTTATGATCGGAAAACCTAAGCCAGAGTGGAACCTTGAAACAAAGATTGCCTCATTGCCAACTAACAAGTTGATGACAGTCAAATAGGATGGACCAATATAAGCAATTTATGGAATGTAGTATTTCATTTCATCTCCGGAAATGAAAACAATACACTATAGTGTGTACACATAAAAAATAGTCAGTGAACTACTAAGGTATCACATTTCAAATTACAGAAATTCCCTAAAGTGGAAGTTTTTTCCAGCTGTTCTTTCACCTAATTTTTGCAGATTTGCCATGAAATTTAGATAATTTCTCAGATCTACTTTTCCTTTGATTTTCTGACAGTGACCAATGATAGTTGAAAATCAATGCTGTGATCAAAATCACATTTCACCAACACAACACGTTTTAATTTCATATTACCTCATTAGAAACATACGCATATTGGAAGTTTGGAACCTCTCCAAAAGGATGGCCAGTATAACAGTATTCCTTATTACTTAACATCTAGGAATGGAACACACCACACACTATATCCCAATTTTGGTAAGTAGAGTAAATCTAAACCCCAATCAGAGAAATAGCTTGATTTTTTCATCACACTTTGAAGTACATGGGGAATGTATACTAGGACATAATGTCATTCACATACCCACTGATAAGCACCTTCCTGATTTCCATCCAAAACAGTGACTGAGTCGGATTTTGTGCTGAAGCTGCTTTTTTTCTTTAGAAAATTCCTCACCTTCACCAATAGTATATATATTAATTAAGTTTTTCAACTGCTTAAGCAATATAAAACCCAAAAAACTGAGGTAATAAAAGCTAAATAAAAAGGCATGCTCACTAAGGAAAACTGAACCTATTTGGAATGTAAAGGAAAAAATCAAGTGTACCGCTTGTAGAATCCTTTCAGGTGCATTGCCTTCCAGCTGCCTCAAACCAGCAGTTGCCTGTGTAGCACATCCATAGCCAGCATTAAGTGCCAATGCAGGCTAGAGGGTCACATTTTCAAAACAAGAAAAAAGCTTCTCAGGTACTACGAGATATAATTAAATTTACTAACCCCAACTCTAACAGGGGTGTAGGGTTGAGCTTCAAGAGGAACTACAGACTTGGCCTTCTCGAGAAGTGATGACAGTGAGTTTGCAGCAGCGTTAGGGTCCTTGGGGTAAGCACTCAAACCTGGTTTTAACTATTGTATCAAAATAAGATGGAGGAAGAGGGTCAAGAGCTCATGGATAAAAAATACAAAGACAAACTAGTAGTGACTACTGCGAATGATACAATGCACCCCCATGCATGAACAACACGTGTTAGCATGAAGCTACTGAATACTTGACAAAGTATGAGCAGGTACACACACACTCGGTGCATAATTGCATATGCATCGCTTCGTATTAAGTTACCTGTTCAAAAAGCTCGAGATCATTGCCGATAGGAACCAGATCCAGATTCTTATCGAAACAGAAGACGTGGACCCTGCTGCCTGAGCTTCCGGCGTCGAAGATAACGGCATACTTCTTAGATCCAAAGTCGGGAGAGAACTTTCGATTTCGGGACCCGAGGGAATTAGCAGGGGATCGGGAGGGCATGACGAAGAGGACGAAAGTAATGAGCAGTAGAGGGACAGAGATGAGAAGGAGAACTCCGCGGTACCGTTGGATCACATCGGGTATGAGGTCGTGTTGGGCGCGGTTGCGCTTAAGTGACTTCTCCATTGGATCGGCGGGAAGCGGCGGAGGAGGCGGGGAGGAATGCTGCACGTCCAAGAGTTCAGCGGCCGATGGCGACCGAAAGCGGATCTGACCGTTCCCCGGCGGCTTCAGAGGCTGGCCGGTCTCATGTACCGTCTCCAGTGCTCCTGACTGTAATGTGACACTCTCTCGCCTTCTCTGTGAATCCCCTGTCTTCACCGTCGGTGAATAGATTTGGAAGAGAAGTAGATCACATCCGATCAAGTCCGAATATGATGCACCCGACCCGGAATTGCAATTTTCCCCGTTCTTGTCTGGTTAGATGTTGAATGCTACGGTTGATTATATGTCAAATCATCACATTATGAATAATTATGTGGGCATGGTCTGTTGATTATATGCTGGCATGGTCGGTTAACCGGGTTTTGGTTAACCAACTTTCGGTTAACCGAGAAACCGGTTACTATTTTTTAACCGAGTATCGGTTAATCATCACTTCGGTTAATCGAGTATCGGTTAATCATAACTTCGGTTAATCGCAAAGCGGTTAACCAAAAACCATAAAACCACAAAATATTAACAGTAAAATCAAATATGAATAGGAACTTCCCAAAAAATGCAGGAATTAAAATAATACACCACGTATATAATTATAATACTGCAAACTTAACAAGATGCTATAATACAAACTCCAACAAACTATAATTATAATACTACAAACTATAATAATGACGTATCTAAAATCTAAAATACTGCCATTTCTCTAAAACTTTATCCATATTTAGGTATCAATCACATTTATCTAAACTTTATAGTTTATTCATAGTCAAGTCAATGTCTATTCTACTATAAATATAATTCAATAAGTTGACAGAGTCACATATATTACAAACTCCAGCAAATATAAACTCCGTTATATTTGTGTACGACTTAAGCTAGATTAATAAGATTAATATTGAACTTTCTATTTAATACTCCGGTATCAAAGTTATTTGAGAATTGATGAAGTTCTAATCTTATTAATTATTACAGAATAAAAAGTAGGCGAGTTGTTTCATATGTATCTAGGATTTCAGGTAGTGTTTTTTGAAATATGCGACCAACGACCTTAAATTAGCTTACTGGTTACATACGAAGCATGTATTATTTGAAATACCGGTTAGCGGTTAACCGGTCATATCTAATTTTCAAAACCATAACAGTACCGTGTACCGTTTTTTCTTGCGGTTGGTTAACCGTACCATGATTTAATTAAAATCGGTACGGTTAACCGAAAAAAATAACGGTTTTCCGGTATGGTTAAACGGTTACGGGCTTTTGTGCCCACCCCTAACATATACTGATTCATACAGCCCTGTTAATTTTTTTTTTGATAATCCAGTTGTCAGGGCTTACGCTCCCATAATCCTGGAGTCTATGAACTACCCTCCAAAGCCCCTAAACAGTTAAAACCGGATCTGATCACAGTCAGCCTCGTCAGTACTGGCTTCAAAGGACGAATCCAGCAGGACTTACATCACCTTTCAGGCTGCTCCTCCCACCACACGAACTCGCTACCTTCATTACCATCCTTTTCCTTCTCAGCCGCTGAGCAACTCCGTGAAGGTAGGAAGAATCATTGGGAGCAAGATCTCCCTCATCTCTCCTTGGTGGGAATTGAACCCAAGACCTCCCACAAAGGAGAGACTTGGAGGTGGATGGTCATCCATTGGACTACACCCACCTTCCCATACAGCCCTATTAATTAAAGTAATCTTGGAGCACTCTTTTTTTTTACCGGAGTAATTATGTCACTCATTGAGTTTCAAACCCTTGTGTGCTTAACGAGATTCGAATGTGAGACCTCCCTCTAAGCATGATAATATAAGTAAAAATTAGAGTATATAATTTGATGACATTTTTATTTTCCTCGATTGAAACAATATGCACGATGCATATGTGACATATGAGATATAGATAAAAAAACAAAGCGTTGATGTTTTTATTTCTTTCAATAGTTCTATATGTTTTGATACTTGAAATTGTAAAGAAAAACGCAGAAATGCATCCAGTTTAATTTTTCTATCTATGATGTTACATATTCACATTACACATTATTGCATTCATGATGCTCCATTAGTGGGAGCCAATTTTTAAGAATCTCTTTATTTCTTTAAATTGCTATAACTTTTTTATTTGTAACCCGATATTTACAAAAAATATATCAAAATTCCTAATTTTTTATTATCTTTCTAATGACACCAATATTGCATATACAAAAAATTGAAAATACGATTGGTGCAGGTTTTCATTATCATTTTTTTAGGATTCTTCTATGGTGCCTACGAAAATAAACAATGTACCGGTGTCTTCACATTTCGACCAATCACATTACATTGGAAAGCCACGTAAGCATCATACTCATATTACTGAACTAAGTTTTATTATTTTCATTTTAGGCCCTAATGAAAAAGTGAATTACCGGAGTATTTAATTTTTGTTAACCGCTCAATACTCCGTCACATCGATCTGTTACTTCCGTTCGTTCCACAAAAGACCCACGCCGCCTGTTTTGCCTTAGAACTAGTTATGCTTTCTATGGCTATATCAAACCCACAGATAATTCATGATAAACCTCAAACATCACCAAACATCAGCTAAAACGATAGAACCCATTTTTCTGCTTTGGTGCTTTCAATTTGTGAACAAGGCTCCGGCGACGGGATGGATCAAAAATATCTTTTGTTATGTGGTTGTGGCTACATCTTCTCATCCCCTTTTTAACAAGACGTCGACGAAAAGAAAGGGTGCGAGAGAAAATCACTTCTTTCTCGCATCTACCATCCCGACATTGTCCAGTTCATTGCAGCATGTAAAAAGCCACATGTGTACTGCATTATCATGTAGTACATGTCACTAGGAACGCTTAGGATATACCTTACCAACAAGGAGCCATACTCACTTTCAATAGAAACAATTCTGAGGCTAGCTCTTGACATATCTAGGGAATAGTATACCTTCACTCTCAAGGTGTGATTCACAGGGATCTTAAATCAAGCAATTTACTTCTCAATGATGATATGCATGTTAGGTTGCAGATTTCGGGAACACGTACAAGAGGCAATGCCACAGGGAATATGGGGACTTATCGGTGGATGCCCCTGAGATTGATTAAGGGAAAACCATATACCCATAAATTGATGTTTATAGTTTTGGCATTGTATTGTGGGAACTTACTACTTCTTTTATGCCTTTCCGAGTAATGACTCGGGTGCAAGCAGCTGCCTTTGCGGTTTCTCAAAAGAATGATAGGCCATCGTTCCCTGAGACTTCCCAACCAGCATTAGTGTTGGGAGCTTCTTCGTGCAGCCTGAGATGTATCAAGAGAATTAGGATGGAGGGAAAGGAATCCCAAACAAGATGCAAAGAAATTAGCACACTTGATCTGTTTGAAGGATTGTCGCCCGATGTGGGAAATTAATTTTCAAGGGGGTTTTACTTCATTTTGTAATGTTTTCATTTTATAAATTTATAGATGGTTGGTTTAGAAATTATTAGATATTAGCAGACTTGATCACTTTGTAATATAGATGGTATGATAAATGTTCGATAGTTGTGTCTAAGAATTTTTCCTGGCCAGGGACACATATCTCTATGTGATTGTACAATACTCACTACACTGTATAAATATGTTTTTGTGTATTTTGGTCTTAAGTGGACCATTCTTATTTTAGTTAATTTTTAATTCTGGTGCCTTTTACTTTTTGCACCAATCTCATAGTAGGCAATTTTTGTAAGGTTCAACTTATTCATGGATGCAAATGCCAACTTTCCCCAATAATGAGACAATGAACAAACACCCATTAAAAGCTAAAGACTAAGTTCTCAACTATGTGGCACGGAAACTCTTGGGAAGGAGTATGTTTCCGTTTCGGAAACTCTATGGAAACTCTTGGAAACTCTCCAAACAAGCCTTTTTGGGCAACATTTGACGTTTCCCATTTCCTCATGACATTCACGTTTCCGTGCAACATAGGTTCTCAACGAGTTAGAACACTCTACAAATAAAATCAAGTTATTTAGTTGCTCCTATTCATGCACTTTTTTGTAATTTATTTTTTATATTCCTACAATTTTTCTAAAATATCTTTTTTATCTCTTTTATACTCCGTATGTTTTTAGAGGGTTTTTTGAGACAATAAAAAGGATTTTTTAAAATCATTTTTTAAATCATTGCATCATAGCTAGAAAAGGTAATTTTGAATCGTGGTTGAACAATCCAGGTTACTTCAAGCATTAATCTATGCTGAATCATGCCTAGGTTTTCCTCTAAGGCTATAGCCATGCCTTAAAGAATAGCATTAAAATTAAATTAGAGATATTGCCCGAAATAGGACTAAAACAATTTGAAAATTCTAAAATATGACTCCCATATTTTTATTCCCAAAATAGGACTAATTACTGTCATGTTTTGGCAATATCAGACTTCAAACATGTCAGTATTTTCTAAATATGTCATTAATTAGTCCTATTTTGAGAATAAAAAATATGATAGTCCTATTTTGGAATTTTGAAACCGTTTTAGTCCTATTTCGGGAACTTTCCCTTAAAATTATAAAAACAATGATAACATTGCCCAATGTCCGTGAAAAGTACCAAATACACAACAGCGGCTAGACAAAGGAAAAACAACATCAACTCTTCATGTTGTGTGCACTTTACATGAAAGTATTATCACTCTATCCAAAATACTCTTTCAGATGTTGTCCATCTTTGCCTTCAAGTTGTAGAGAAGAGCCGTAATTTGTGAAGACAATCGGGAACGAATCAGCCTATGAAAATACATCAACGCCAGCACGAAAACAAAAATGTTCAGTAATCAAGTATCATAACTACCGGTAATGCAAATTAAAGGTTTGATGAAATCATTCATCATTCATACCTTAAAGATTAAATAGATGCAGAAAACATTATCACAAACATCATAATTATCCAATAATGAAAAGGGTGATGACAGCCAAACAAAGAGTTATCCATTTTGTGTCAAAAAGAGTTATCCATTTAGTTTGAAAGATCACACAATTTACCTTGTAAATAGAATCTACACATTTCAGGATTTCATCATGCTTAACCTGGAACAAACAAGTGTCTTTATCAAAGCTTAGCGTTTTCTTAGTCATTTCATTTTCATTTTCGTTTACCCCAGTGGCGCAAAGGCTCCCACCTACGGTGGGGTAAGGGGGTCGGATGTACGCAGTCTTACCCATGTACTAAAGCACAGAGAGACTGTTTCCGGATGACCCATAGTGAAAATCGCGTCCAAGATTGCATGGACTGATTGCTGCTCCATAACAAAGAAGC